CGTTCCGTCCCTGTTGGTTTAGGCAAAAATGTAAGTTTGTTTTGTCAAAATACAATCTAGCTTTATTGATCTTTTATTGCCSTATGAGACACAAAGATGAACAAAAAGGGAAAAAATGTAGAGTTTCAGAAAAATACAGCAAGTTTCATGAGATAAAGGTTTTACAAATGAATTCAAATTGCAAATACAACATAAATCAATAATGACTAGTTCTCTTTAAGGAAAGAAGAGGAAAATATTCACAAGTTTAAAAAAACATACCAACATAACTACAAACTTACAGTACAAAGAAACCTAAATGGCTTTTACAAGTTATTTAATCTTTAAACGGGTAGCATGACTGATTGTCAAGTTTTGTCTTCCTAACCTACAACAAGTCATAAACAGACATAAACAAGATAAACATTCCACCTTTCAAATGTGTAAATGTTTGAATTGCTTTTACATCGTTACAGTATTTTCTACTAAAGCTTGTTTTATCTTGAGGTCAGTTCATTTGACTACAAASAGACACAAAATAATCATTGTGCAATAACTAATATTTTAGGAAATGTATTAGGTAAACCAACAAATGATCTATAGAGTCTAAAGGACAGGAGCCTTATCAGGTCTATTGCTTTAAAAACTGAGTTGCACACTATAGCCACAAGTCCCTGCACTGATAACGTAAACTCCTCAGAGGGGGGAAAAACAGTGGTCAAAAAGGCAACAGCGCCGAGGAAACAGGAAACAGATGCTCTTTAGCAGCACCCATGATGCCACAGTTGGATCAGAGGAATTGCATAGAGCAGCATCTTTTGTGTTTTCCTCTTATTCTGTTTTTAAAAAAATCCTGCTCAACCCTGTTAATTAGGTTTAAGGCAGAAGAATGGACTAATTTTGTGCTGTTCTCAGTCTTGCAGGTATATTCAAGGTAGAAAAGTAAATAAAACCTTGTCGCGCAAGAGACTTTTTATGTTTGACATATTCTGGATAGACGTATTTTTGAACTTTCTATTTGCTTATCGTAAGTTAATTATAGTTTCTACTAAACTGCTTTGGTGTGGGAAACAAAATGTTGTGTCACGTGCTGGTCCACGGCAGCAGGAAGGAGATGATAATGATGACGAGGGAGATGGAGACCGGCAGCAAGAGAAGGAGGGTGACCGGTACAGAGAGAGATGACGGCCATAAAGACATCAGTTTGGCGGCCCAGGAAAGTTTGACCGTGCTCTTTAGCCTCTCGACATTGGGTCCGCTGATGACCAGTGGCCGGACCTGCGATACACTCTCCTGGAACATGGAAGCGAGAGAAAAGGTGTAAAAGTTTTTTTTTTGCAGGCGTTCTCTCGTTAAAAAAGCCTGAAACACAAATGAAACGAGAAGCACTTGGAGAGTGCACACCTCCACCAAGACACCTACAAGTTTAATATTTACTATTATCCAGGCCGATTTAACTGCACCGATTTCCTTATCTTTTGGAGATCGGAGATCAGCCGAWACTATTGGTGGAAAAGATCAGCTTCTCATCTGAAAATCAGCCACTGTCTCTTTTTGTTCTGCTGTGAGCAATATCTACATCGAAAAAAAGGATTTTTTGGTGTAGTAACATTTATTTAATTATTCTTTTAAATTTTACAAATAAACAGCAAAATTTCTAAACTACTAGAATTTACTAAATAAACAATATGCATTATATTATGTATCAATAGTACTGTACAAAAAAAGTAAATGCTAATATTATTTTACCAGTAATATTTAAGTGCTTTTTCTGGACAACACATAAGCATGAATATATTAAGTAACTTCTACTCTTCTGGGCTAAAACTGAGGGTGTATGCACACACAAAGGCTGCTGCTCCTCATTCCCTTGCTTCACTTTTCAAGGAGAGGACAAGACATGGTCGAAATAAACATAAGTTGTCTGGTTTCTTTTTCTTGAATACATTTGTTGGTGTGCAATAGTTTGATGGCAAAATGTAGGTGATATTTAGTTGTCAGGGAACAGGGAATGCATATTGTGGCATTCTGCTGTGTTTGGCTGTTTGTCATGTGACTGCAGTGGAGGATTGTGGGTAGGATTCATGTATGTTGTTGTTAAATCATTTTAGGGAATTGGTTAACATTGTTCTTTCAGCAGTTAGTCTGTTGTGTTACTCTAATTTGTGTGTTCATTTTTTGTTAACTTGTGTTAAACCGTTCAGCAGAAGTAACCATAAGTGAGAGTGGTAGGCCTAGTCACTAATAAGACCTGTGAGTTTCACTGTGTCTGTTTTGTTCATGAAAAAGAATCCAATAAAGGAAAAAAAAAATTGTATAGGTCCTCTGGACGGGTTCTTCTTTAATGAAACGTTTCGTTTCTCTTCCAAGAGACTTCTTC